AAACGGGAAATAATGAAAGATTTAGTAGTCCTGCTGTTCATATTATTTCAGGGGGCTGGGATTCTGGGTCCCTGTTACCCTGAGTCTGAGCTTAGCCCTGACCTTGCCTCCCCCAACTGGGTCCTCTTGTGGGTACAGGTGTTAGGGAGTCCATCGGGTGCTGGATCTTTTTCATTTCAGGGTTTTTGTTGCTTTTGCCCTTGTTTGGGCCCCATTGTCTTCAAAGGGTGCAGAGTGATATGAGGTGTGATCGAAAATACAGTGACAGCTGTCACCAAGCGTCACCCATATGAAAGCAAGACTTGTAAAAACACGACACCAGCTCCTCGTCCACCTGATTCACCGGATTTGGTGCCATGTGACTTCTGGCCCTTCCCCAAAGTCACAATGACCAGGAAAGGGAGAGGTTTCGAATCCATTCAGGACATGGAGGTAGTCAGGACAGCGCAGCTAAAGACCCTCAGGAAAGAGCACTGCAGAGCTGCTGCAGGAAGCGGCCAGGACAAAGGGACAAGTATGTGCAAAGCTGGGGAGGATTCCGATGTGATTCACAAGAATGTGTCTTTTACTGTAATTAATTTTTAAAACTTAAACTTACATGGTTATTTTCCATCAAACCCCTTAGACCCCAGCCTCTTACTGGGGAGAGTCCCTTGGCAGGCACAGGAGTCGGTCCTGGGTGCAAAGGTTGTAATGCTGGGTGCCTGGCTCCCAGGCCAGCTCTGTCCCCTCCCTGCTGGACCGTGCTGTGGATGGACCACAGATGTGTGCTCCTGGGAAACCTGGGTGAAATATCCCAATCACTCCAGTGAAGGTAGACTCGTGGGTGATGCTGGCAAAGAGCAGTCCCTGTGCTACCTGAACTCGTATGGCACAGGTCACACAGCCCATCAGTCATCTCTATGTGGGACAGGACAACCCCAGCCTGGCCTCAATGGTATGGCTCCACAAGAGGGGAGAGAACAGGCCGAATTCAGGTACAGCAGACAAGAGCACCTCTGGTGATGGGGGCAACTTATGCAGGGCACCTCATTGTTCAGGCCTGGGAGTTTTATTTGTTTGTTTGTTTGTTTTTGAGACAAAGTCTCTCTATGTAGCCTAGGCTGGCCTCAGACACCCAGCGAATCTCCTGCCTCAGCCTCCCAGTGCTGGGATGACAGGAGTGCGCCGTCACACCAGGCACACAGACACAGTTCTGGATGACTCCAATGCAGACTTGTCACAAGCCTTGCGTGAGTGACTTCATGTCACAGAACCTCCAAATGGTCCCCTGCTCTGAGTTCCAACTGTGGCCACCTTCAAAGGCAGGGACAGACAGTGCTGAACACCAGTGTGAGCCACCACGGATCAAGGGCAGGTGTCCCAAGGAACCTGGGGCAAAGGAAGCTGGTTGGCAGCACGGCGGGTCCTTTCCTTAGAGGGACCTTTGTTGATGTCCACCACTGCTGTCAGCCACCACTCAAGTGGCAGCCAGGGCCTGCAATGTCACTGTGATTTGCCCCCAGGGATCAGGCACGACATGACCTGCAGGCACATACCCAGCTCACATGCAGCCTTACGAACCTTGCTACCTCTCTCTCAGGTTTTTAAAAGGATGGGATGGGATGGGATGTAGAGCTGGGTATGCTGTGTAGGCTGTAATCCCAACTGGCTGGGAGGCTGAGACAAGAGGGTCACAAATTCAAACGCAACCTTGGCAATTAATCGACTGAGCAAGAACTTGTTTCAAAATAAAAAATACAGAAGGGCTGGGGGTGTAGATCAGTGCAAAGGCCCCAGTACTGTACATGAAGAAGGGGCTGGGGAGACCAAACTCTGACAGGAAGACCTCAGGGGACTGCAGGTTGGAATTTAGACCTTCCTGTAGATCTTACTCCAGGCACAATACTGAGGAGTGCCATGTCTTTCAGGGTCACTGAGCCCTGGTCCTGTAAGGCCAAGGTGCCTCTTTCAGTGTGTCTCTGGTCCCCAGCTCAGAGGGGGAGTTGCCTGAGCACTGTCCCTTACCCTAAGGGCAGATCAGGGCACCACTTGGTGGCCTTGCACCTTCATCTCAGGGCTCAAGGTCCATCTCAAGGTTGGGGTGACCAGCACCTGCTCCCCCACTGCCTGTCCAGCTAAGTGAGCTCACCCCACCCTTGCCCAGAGAGGCCACTGGAGAGGGGGTGGGGTGGGGTGGTGGGGGAGAAGTTTTTAACCCTTGAAGGGGCGGTGCGGGTGCTCAGTCAACAGGCGATGGATGGGTGAGTGCGGCAGAAAAGGGTGCCCAACTGGGTGTGGGGGCTCCCACTTGTGATCCCAGCCCTCTGGAAGGCTGGGGCAGGGGGATTGAAAGTTTGGACCTAGTCTGGACAATTTAGTGAGACCTTATCTCAAAACTAAAAAAGAACAATTTTAAAAAGGGCAGGGGACATAGTTCAGTGGGAAGGTCCTGGGTTCAATTCCCAGGATCACAAAAACAAAAGAAAGGTAATATCAAAAATAAAAACACTCCCAGGCCCAGAGCTGTTAGTGCGGCCTTGGGTGGATGAGCAATCACCTGCCCGCACCCTCCCAGCAAGGAGGGTGCCCCCCTTTCCTTCAGGAGGACCTAAGCCTGAGCAAGGACTGCAAGATGGAAGGGGAGCCCGCTGTCATTAAGATGAGAGCCCCAGAAAGCAGTCTGTTTTCATGGGCCACCCTGCGGCTGAGGATGCAGGCTCAGGGAGGAGAATGGGGAGCTGTATGCAAAAAAGGAGCCCCCTTTTCCTGGCCTCCCCCTATCCAGCCTCCCACCTGCTGTAGGAAGAGGACAGATGGAGGCCTAGCGTGGGGACCTGGGGCCACCTGCAACCCCACCAGCCACTCATGGCAGAGCCTCGAAAGGTCTCAGGCCAGTGGAAGGGCCTGTGCATAGGGGAGGGGAGTGAGGGCACCACCCAGCCCAGCCAGTGCGCCCTGTGTCCCTGAGGCCCGGCAGCCTGTGGGCTGGGCTCTGAAGCCCGCGCAGAGCTTGTCAGCCTCCCTGCATTCCCGCCCAGCTGGTTAGAGGCCAGGAGTGAGGCTGCCCCTCAGGCTGGTCCAGCTAGCCCAGCTGGGCATAGATGTGTCCCCACCGCCACCTCCTGAGCAGGACACACAGAGCATCCACCTCTCCAGGGTTGGGTCTGGAGGGGACAGCCTAAGCAGTGTCCCTTCTCCAGAGCACATGGACTTTGTCAAGGGGTGAGAGCGAGGCCACCTGCTTCCTGCAGGGGACATCAGAGCTCCGAGTGGTGCTCTGACTCAGGAGCATCGGGGACTACCAATGCTGTCTTCAACCAACAGTAGCTGTTTGTATCCTCAGAGCCCAGAACTGGGAGATTCAAGACCAAGGTGCAGGCAGGGCTGGGTCCCTCAGGGACTCTGGCTCATCTTGCCTGGTATGGCCTGGGCTTCTGGCATCTTCAGTGTCCCTGGGCTTGGGGCTCAAGAAGTCAGTCTCTACCTGTTCTGCATGACCTCTCTGGGGGCTTCAGCTTTTGCATGACAGCTCTTTCTCCTCATGGTGGTGAATACCTGTCATCCTAGCACTCAGAAGGCTGAGGCAGGAGGATCACTCTGAGCTCAAGGCCAGCCTGGGCTACATAATGGGTTCAAGGGCAGGCTGAACTATATAGTGAGACCCTGCTCAAGACAAAAAGACAAAAAACCCATGATTGTACGGGATCAGGACTCACATCATGACCTCACTTAAGTGGATTATATCTGTAGAGACTCTGTTTCCAAATCAGGCCCTATTCACAAGAGGCTGAGGGGAGTTAGCCTCTTTTGGAGGGGACAAAAGTCAGCCCACAACAGGGGAGACACCGGGCTTTGGTAAGATGGGTCCAGAGCCAGAAACTCTGAGTCTCAGGTGTGAAACTTCTTTCAAGTCCTAAATCTTATTTATTTACTTATTTATCTATTTATTCTTGAGATAGGGTCAGGCTGGCCTCGAACTCACCACAATCCTCCTGCCTCAGTCTCTTGAGTGCTGGGATGGCAGGTGTGAGCTACCATCCCCAGCCATTTCTGAGTTTTATCAAAGGAATTTATACCCTGGTTTGGAAGATAGAAGCCAACGCTGGGTCCCATGAAGCCCACTGAGGCACGAGGATTTCCCCCGAGACTTATAGATGATAGTGATTGGCTGAAATCACACCCTCTGAGCTACAGGGACTGGACCTGAATTGTGTTTTCCTAGCTTGTGGATCAGGTTTGTCTACTGTAAGCAATGACATGGGAAGATGGCGGGGTGGGGGTAGTGGCACATACATCATACCTCTCACATCCCCAACTCTGAAGAAGAAAGATGGTTGTCTGCTGTGAACATCTGTTAGGTGAATTCTCAAACATAGATACAGATGGCTGGAAGATAGGGCTGTAGGATTTTCAGCCAAGTAAAAGGAAACCGACCAGGCCAAGTTCCCAGGCTGCACACCCAGTACCCAAGTCAGATATGCCAGGGAGAGGGATGGGGTGGGGTGTAGTCATGGTCCTGCCTCTGAGAATGACAAGGAAACCACTGTGGTTGCTTAGCTAGGCTTTCTCTTCTGTTGTGCAAGCATCACTGTCACAAATTAAAACAGCTTTGATGTCCCTGGGCCGTGTCATTTTAGGGGACAACTGTCATTTCCATGGTCTGACAGTGACTGTCACCAGGCGTTGCATGATCGCGTTTGTTGGTTCTGCCTGTAATTTTAGGGTTACTTTCTTTTCATTTTTCCGGGGTCTCACTATATAATGCAAGCTGACCTTGAATGCATGGTGATCCTCCTGTCTGTCTCCAAAGTGCTGGGATTATAGGCATGTGTCACCACTCTGGCTTTTGAAAGCAGCTTCATTTTATTTTTGTCTGAGACAAGGTCTCACTAATGCAGTTCCGGCTGGCCTTGAACTCACTCTGTAACCCAGGCTGGCCTTGAACACGCAGTGATCCTCCTGCCTCAGCCTTCCAAGTGCTGGAATTACGGGCGTGCAGTACCATGCCCAGAAGAGGTTATTTCAATGGTCGTGTAAGTGGCTTTTTTTTTTTTCTTTACAGAGAGTGTTTTGCAGCCCACATTATGGACATCTCCAGTGAAAGTATTAATGTTAAATAAATAGGGAGGCGGCCCATTGCCCTATCCCTCCACCGCTCCTGGTGCCAGCACTCACTGGCACCTACTCTGTCACCAGCAGATGTGTCAGTCACCACGTGGCGTCACCTCTACCCTAACAAGCTCGAGCACGGAGAGCCAACAACCGGAGCAAGAGGCATCCCAGAGCCTTAAACGAAGGATGGAGAACCAGGCTGTAGGAAGGCGCGGTAGGTGTGCGGGTAAGGTGTCTGTTCTGCGCATGTGCAGCAGAGCAGATGCCGCCCACCTGCCACGCCCACACCAAGCCACGCCCATCGCCTCGGTCTTCCGGCGACCACTTCCAGGCATCCACCTCCTTTAGGTGGGCGAAGCCGAGACTCCTGTTGCGGACGGGGAGCCTGCTTGGTGGCCGCCCTTCAAGGGATTGAATCGCGCCCGAGACTCAGGAATGTCACACCCACCGAGACGCCTCCTCTGCCGAGGGAAGGCCAGCTGGGCCCTCTGTTTTTGCTCCCTAGCCAGGCGCTGAACCAGGACTGTGAGTGCCCCCACCCCCCGCTGCCCCCCAGGATTTTCAGGAGGAGGGAGGCGACCAGGGTGACTCCGCGTTAGGTGGATGGGTGGGTCCCTCGCCTCGGGTTTCAGTTCCCCCTCGTCTCAGGGGAGGGGACATCAGTCGCAGTTCTGAGCTCCCTTGTGCAATGCTGGCCCAGGACAATGCGATCCTCCTTGTAATCACCAGGCAGGTATTGCTTGTTTTCTCTTCCAGAGAGGTTGAGTAACTTGATGCCACACAGCCTGGAAGTAGAGATGCCCCTGGGCTCTGCCTGGGAGGGCTTGGTGTCTGGGAGACCTACCACCTGGGACTGTAGACTGTGCCACTTCACCTAGTCCCGTAGTCCCTGGAAGCCCTGGGGCACTGGGGTCAGAGGTTATAGAGCAGCAGGGCACAGGGGTGTGGCCCTTAAAGAACCCCAACACATCTACAGAGCTGAGGCTAGTCAGGGAAGACAAGGTGGGCACCAGAAGGGCATCTGTGACCGGGGCCCACGGGGACCCTAGGTAGAGGAGAGGCCAGGAAGACAGCAGGGACCCATGCCCAAGGGCTCAAGATGTCACCCACTTCCCAGCGGATGTGTCTGTCACCTGGCACTTCCTTGGGGAGCTCCAAGCCGAGGGGGGCATCAGGGAGGCTCTGTATGGATCTGCCAGTTGCCAAGCAGCACAGGGTGCACTTGTCCCAGGTCCATGGAAGTCGACCCCAGACTTGGCGACCCTAAGGCCCAAGATCAAGAGCAGGACCCCAGCAGGCCTGTCTATCTGTCCGATGCAGAAAGCTGTATGTCCACATGGCTGGAGGTAGAAGGTGAGCCAGTCAGGCAATAAAGAAGCCTCTTTTCAAACATTTTTTTTCTGTAATAGAGATTGAATGTGGAGTCTTTGCACTCAGCTACAGCCCCAGCCCTTTTCCTTTTCTTTCTTTGACACAGATTCTTGTTGAATCACTAAATCGCCCAGGCGAGGCTGGAACTTGCAATCCTCCTGCTTCAGCCTTCCAGAGAGCTGGGATCACGGGGGTGCACCATCACATTCTTCTATACAGGCCTTCATCCCATCAGTAACAGAGGAGGCCTCTTAGCCTGATTCCCTTTAAAGGGCTCCCTCTTAACAGCACCCAAGCAGCACCCTCCCCCCCAAATTCAGAGGGGCCCCATTTGAATCCCAACAGGGCTGCTGGAGTTGGCAGGTGAACCCCAAATCCCTGTGCTGGGAACTGAATTTCCTACGTGAGGGTACCGAGGGTTGAAGAAGTGATTGGAGCTGGGGTTCTGCCCTTAAGAGGGATCGATGCTAGCACTGGGGGGTGGGGGGGCTTCCTTGCAGAACTGGCTGCTGATAACGGACAAGTTCGGCCCCTTTCTCTTGCACTTGCACATTCTGCTGCCCTCGCACACGGGACAGTGGAGCTGGAAGCCCTCACCAGAGGTGGACACCTCAATCTCAGGCTCCCAGCCTTAGGAATCAAGCCACCTCTACCCTTTTATCACTTGCACAGGGTCAGGTATCTGGTTAGAGGACCATAGGTGCGCTAAGACAGTGGTCCATCCCATTTTGTCTTTATTTATTTTTGAGAGAGGGTCTTGCTGTGTAGTGTAGGCTGGCCTTCAACTCAGTGTGTAGCCCAGGCTGGCCTCAGACTCCCAAGTGCTGGGATTACAGGCCCCACCATGCCTGGTTTAATTCACTATTGTATCCCAGGCTGGGTTCAAATTCACAGTGATTCTCTTGCCTCAGCCTCCCAAGTGCTAGGATGACAGGCAGGCTTGGTCTGCTTAGTCTTCATCTGTTTAGGCTGCTTTAACGAGATACCATAAATGGGGTGTCCGTAAACATTAGCAGCTTTTTCTTGGAGTGCAGGCGGGTCAAGGTGGCAACACTTTTGGTGTCAGCTGTGGCCTCTCTTCTTGGTTCTAAAGACCTCACCTTCATTGCATCAAGGATTATGGTTTAACATGATCGGATCAAGGATTAGGGTTCAACATAAGAACTTGGGGCACACTGGGGGCTGAGCTCAGAGGGTGGGGTATGGCCAGCTGAGGCCATTTTGGGGTGTTGGGGTGAGTATCCCAAGATCTGGCCAACACATGCAACTTTCCAGCAGTGGGGACCCCGCTACTGGCCCCCTTGTCCTGCCCTTCTCTATCCCAATTCCGTAAGGAGCCTGTCCCTTAGCCTAGAAGGCAATTGCAGGGGTCTCGGGGAGCTGCTTCACAGTACCCCCCTCCAGACCAGACCCTAGGGACCAAGGTTGCTCTGATTCTGCAGCTTGGGGTGCAGTTAGGATGAGGAAGTGTAGTGCAGGGAGATGATGTCTCTAGCCTGGCCCTCGGGTGACCATCACATTTCCTCTGGAAGTTCAGAAGGTGGCCTAGTAACCCGATTCCCAGGGTTTTCACAGCTGGACACTGAGTGTGTGGGTGTCGGAGTGGCTGCCTGGGTCCAGCACAAGTCAGCTGTCCCTGCCAGGTACTGTATGAGCCCTGGGCCTGGGTCAGCCCACTCTTACAGCCAGGTGTGTGCCCAGGACTTCCGGCTGGGTGTCTACACTGACGGCACAGCTGTGCATCACCATACCTGGTGTAAACGCTCCTTCCTCCATGAGAAATTAAGGCCACATCATTTCCTGGCTTCAAAGGACCTCAGAGAGACGTGTGCCTAAGTCCCCTGGCTAGGGGGAACCAGCAGCAGCATCTTGGGGACAGAGAGTCCTTCCCCTGATGGCCAGCACCCTGCACTCTCCAGGCCCCATCTTGTTCTTAGTGGGGAACACCCAGCTGTCTGAACCGCTGTCCCTTGGTGCCCTGGCTCAGCCCCAAGTCCCACCTGGAGTGGGTGTCAGATGGGTACGGGCTGCTGCATGTCGCCAAGAGCTCTCTGGGATGCGTGGCTGCATGATCAGCTGGCCTGGATACACTGGAAGGACAAGGAGGTCCAGTTAGCCCAGGAAAACAGGAGAGAAGGACCCTGAGACTGGACAGGGAGCCCCAGGAACCCCTATTGCTCTGAGTCCTGAGTAGCAACCTGCAAGAGTCAGAAGCAATGGACCTCACACACAGTGCACCCCTCGTGCAGGGGTCTTGGGGAGCTGCTTCACAGGGGTCCTGAGCACCGTCCTTGGGTCTGCCCTTCCCAGCACTGAAAGGGGACACAGGAACCACACTGGATCCCCAGGATGGCCTCTTGGCACCAGGTAGCCAGTACAGCACTGGGCTCTGGCCCCACCCTGCCCTGAGGTGGAAGCTGGGTCACTGTGCAGGGCTGTTTGGGCTCCAAAGAGCCATGCTGTGCCCTGCCTTGGAGGTGTTGACGGTGTGGCTGAGAAATCTAGGTCAGCAGTGGGCAAGGCCCTGCAGGTGGCAGCTGTGCCAGCAGAGCTGGGGATAGAGAAGCCACCTGATGACACATCCCACTTCCGGGCCCTCCCAGAGCCCTAGGCCCCAAGGCAGCTTGTGGGGGAGTCAGAGCTTAGGAGTCCTGGGCTGTGGCTGTGTGACTCTGGGTTGTCACCTGCTCCTCAGCTCCTCCACCTTTGACTTCAGGCAAGGTGGGGGGATCCAGACATCAGCTTCTTGGTCAAAGCTGCCCGCTCCCGCTTCCCACAGCCTCCCATGCCTTGAGCCCTCTGAGGGCCTCTATCTTCGGTGGGAACCCCCCAAAAGCCATAATGTGTACATTTAGCAGGGCTCAGCAAAGGAGGGGATGGGGCTGTGTTTGCTGAGTTCAGGAATAAACGAAAGAGGATGCCCTTGCCCATTTCCCTCACCTTTGCTAGATTAGACCCAGATCCTTTGGGACCACTGCCAGGGGCAAGGCTGACAGCCAGGTGTGGTGACGCACATCTGTCATCTCAGCAACACTCAGGAGGCTGAGGCAGGAGGAGTGCCTTGAGTTCAAAGCCAGCGTGGCCTACACAGTGAGTTCAAGGTTAGGCTGAACTAACTACATACCGAGACCCTGTCCCAAGAAAGAAAAAAAGAAAGTGCCAGGGATTTAGCTCAGTGGCTCATGTGCTTGCCTGGTAAATGTGAGGTCCCTGGTACAAAAAAACAAACCGAGACTGAAGGGGCATCCCACCCTCAGCTGATGCTACCTGCACCCCAGCTCTGGGAGTCTCGCATTTGCTGCAGTTCCCTGGGCGACCGAGCTGGGCGTCCTGCCTGCAGCCTCATCTTGCCTGGTCACTGCGGGCCCTAAGACCCTGGGCCGGAAGTCAGCGACCACCCAGAGCCACGGAGCTGCACCCGGACGCCGTCGGCCAGGCCAAGGGACCTGATTTTGCCCAGGCTGCAAGGCCAGCTCCTCCCTGGGAACAGAAAGGGGAGAGCGAGAGGGTCACCAGGCCGGGTGTCGTCATCTCATTTCAAAGAGGGGATGACCGCAGGTCAGAGGGCAGCCCTTCCATAGCCTCGCCGTCAGGACAGAACCCAGGTCCCACCCGGAGCGCAGAGAGCACTGGAGGCCGCCGGAGCAGCGTAGAGACTGCCCCCAAAGCCCTGCCCCTGCCCCTACCCGTCACCCTCCGCACCTGGCCCCTCCCTGCCCGGAAGCCAGGGACCAGCTGGGACCCACCTGGGCCGGCTTCCCGCGGCCGCCGCTCCCGCTGCTGTGTTCGCCTGTCCTCTGCCGGCAAGGTGTGGAAGCGCAGGGCAATCTCCGCCCACTGCTCTCCTCGCTGCTTGAAAGCTGGGCACGGGCGCGCGGACTGGTAACTAAAACATGTCCCGGCCTCTTACTTCGGTAAGTTCACCCTTCTAACGCCTGGAAGGCCGGGTTCAAGTGCAGAAGTCAGCTCCTGCACCGCAATTGGTAAGGCGGGGGAGCCTGTCTGCGCCCCCTCCCCGCACCATGCGTGAGGACGCAGGCAGGCGTGGACACGGGTGTGTGCACACGCCACACTGCATGCATACGCTAGTGCACACGCGTGTCCAAAATACTCCGCTGCACACATACACCTGTTCATACATGTGTGCCGTCCTG